TTTAATTAAACGTCAAGACGGCAATACAAAGAGGTTGTAATTAGTTACTTAGGTACTATACTCTTTTCAGAATAAGAAGGAACCAGGCGGCCACGGACAAAACCGGTCTTGTTACTTAAATCTGGTGCGTTCTTATATTCTGAAAAGAGTATATGTAAATAGCATATAAGCGCTAAAATCTAACACGTCTTAAATTTGGCCATCACTGTTTACTTAAGCCTCGAGGTTAGGAACAAACTACTATGGCCAGGGACGGATTGGGCCATAGGGAAATCGGGAAATTAAATTAGGGTTAAAATAATAATAGTATATATTATAATATTGAGTGCCTGCTGCACACACATATATTATATGGTTTATACGTTGCATAATGTTTGTAGACGTATATCACAGTATATGACAAAATGTACGACTATAATAAGTTGGTTAAAATGTATTCATAGGTTTACGCAAATAGACTGGCCAGTTCTAGACCTTATTGTCGTTAATAATAATAATAACAATTATCTCGTCATCATGTCCTCCTGTCGCCGCTACATAACCTGTACGTTGTTAATATTCGCCGCGTTTCCATCTTCTGTGGCATTAATAGAAATAATATAATGATAACAATAGCATAATATAATATTATATTATACGTCTATGGCCTAAACCCATCGGGTGTTGACCAGTTGTCCCCCACGGCTGTTATCGGAATTTTAAAAATATACCAAGTAGCCCTCAACCAAATGTACCAGTTGCCTCCAACCGAACGTACCAGTTGCCCTTACATGTTAATATATAGGTACTATATATACAATTACAATATATAGCCCTTAAAATAGGGGTGGTAAATATACAAATAATAAATAAAATTATTTAAAATAAAGTAAAATAGTATAAAATGATAGAAAAAATTCATATGCTTGGAATTATAATATATACCTAATATTGTATTTTGTAATAAATAATAATTACTAACAAAATAATAATATGTATCCAGCGCCACGGTCGTGACACGAGCTAAGAAAAAAAAAAAATAACTGTACGACCGTGTGTGTATTTTACATCAAAGTTTCATAATTTATTATGGTAGCGCGATACATTTTTTTTTTGAATATATTTTATAATATATTATATTATATTATACGTCTATGGTTTAGGCGCATATATATATAAACCCGAAGGGTTTGGGTTTGAGATAATGGCGAAGTTTTTGCATAGAGTTTTCCAACCACGCATCACACAAAACACAGAGGTTAGTCTAAACTATGTACTAATAATTATTTAATATAATAAAATAAAATAAGTACTAATTTAAGTTACAATAAAATATTTAAAATGGATTAAACAAAAATTATACAGTTTTACATCAAAACCTCAACTTTTTGGTTTTTCTACGTTCAGCACGCACACGTATTTTAATATTTTAAAAACTCAACGTTGGAGGTTGGACACAACATTGTCTATAAAATAATTTAATTTAAAACAAAATTTTTTGTTAAGTAGGTAGCTAAATGTTCGTAGAAATATAAAATAAAATCCTGTTATGTGACAATGAAGCAGCTGCAATACCAAAAACACGAAATTCAAGCGTCGGTAGTGTACCTTGGACCTATTGTATGGAATGTACCTTTTTTATATCTCACCAGCATAAAATCAACTATCAAAATACGAAAATCTACCAACATACAATTTAGGTAAGAAAAACATAGTGTTATAATAATACCACAGAATAGAATAATCGGAAAGGACACTGATAAGAAATAACACAGTCACCATAGGCTGGTGTGAAAATCAGTCCACCATGTTTTTGGAGGAAAAATCAGTGTGACCAGTAGGAAAAAATAAATTATGCTACTTCACATGTGTTCAATTTTAACTGTATTTCAAGTTAGATAATTAATAGTTTTTAAAAGTTCATAATACAAACACAGAATAGTCAATAGAATAATAGATACAAATTTCAAAGTGACATGATTAATAATATACACACGAGTACCATGATTACAAACTATATATTAGGTAGGTATTCTTATATTAGAAAATAAATGATTAATTTAAACTGAATCAACTGTGAATCAACAAAGTGAAAAGATGTGTAATCTGTTAGAAATGTTCTTAGACCACATACATTGTATATGATCTAAGGAAATGTTTGAATATTATTATCACTAAATTATCAACAAATTTACAAATATGATAACTGTTTCCTCCAAAAATATGGCCGCCTTAATTCGGCAATATTATCAAAGTGTCCGACCCCTGATAATACTGGGCGATTGTAAACTCCTCCAGAATACCGGTTAGATAAAAATGTCTAATATGTAAGCTCCGCCAGTTTTATTTTCTTACCTATAATTAGTGATGTAAGTCGGTAATATTACTTTGGTAAAGTATTTTAAAGTAAGTAATTTATCGGTAAAGTAGTAAATATAAATTACTTACCACTTTATGAGTATTTTATTTTTTTTTTAGTTTTCTTAATTATATTTATTTATTCATATAGATAAAACATGTACCATACTACCATGCTACATTTATTAGGTTATAGGATCTTTGTAGGCAGTGCCACACTGCCACGGGCCAACGGAGTACTGATTACTGATTAGGTCGTACTGATAAAGAAAAATATAAATAAAAAAGTAATATTATCGGTAATTTACTCAAGTAAGTTACCTAAAAATAAATTACAGATAATTTTGTATAAATTTCCCAATATTATTACCATAAAAAAGTAATATTACCGGTAATTTACTCAAGTAAGTTACCTAAAAATAAATTACAGATAATTTTGTATAAATTTCCCAATATTACCATAAAAAAGTAATATTACCGGTAATTTACTCAAGTAAGTTACCTAAAAATAAATTACCGGTAATTTTACATGGAAAAATAAATTTCCCAATATTACCATTAAAAAGTAATATTACCGGTAATTTACTGAAGTAAGTTACCCAAAAATAAATTACCGGTAATTTTACAACACTACCTATAATGGGTATATGGAAACTCCGCCAGTATTAAAAAAAAAAAACACACATCATTGTAAAATGATTTTACTAAAATTTTACTAAAATCAATACATTCATCGTTCCACTCAGAATCTAAAATGTTCTCGTGGCGAAGTTTACACGCACTCAATAAAACTACCATGTACAGGACGTGTCTCACTATGTTCGTCACCGTCAATTTCTTGTTTTATATTAAGTAATAACTAATAAATAAGAAGGTTTTTCGAAACACTGCAAAATACCCTATATGTTATAATATACAATGTATACTTAATACTATGAATTATTAGTCATTATACAATGTTAATGCTCCACTTGTAACGAAGTATTCGGCGAATAAATTTCTTATTTGGATAGCTTCAAGTCCACATTTTCCAGCCACCCTCAGAAATGACAAAAATTATGATATGTAATTTTGGTCTATCCTCCAGGATCCAGGATCCTAATGGTCTTCATTTTCATTTTCGGAATCAAATGTTCCTGGAGGAGAGTAACTTGCTTTTGATGACTTGTTTTTTCTTAAGAAATTGTGCTCCAATGCACATGTCATTGTTTTCTGTTTGAAACTCTGTTTTCACAGGGTAGGTACTCATATTGTTTGAGGGGAAGTGTTGAAAAAGTATAAACAATACACTCGGTATGTTTAGTATATATTATAGTTTTATCACACACTGTAATTTAAGTATATAGATATACATTAGTATCGTAAACAGTTAAGGATTAGATGACACAATCCTGGGTGTGGTGATACACGAACTACGCCTGGAGACAGATATATTATATGGATATTGGATATAATAATTTCGTAATCAGTCGAGTTAAGTGACCCGTTGTCTATATAAGTTCGTACACTCAATATTATTGTTTGTTAGATGCAATACATTTTACAATTTTACTATTATAACGTCTATATCTACTTTATTCTAATTTATTGACCTAATCCACTCAACATTTTACATTGAGTAGGTATTGACTTTTAAGTTATAAATTAATAATAAAAATAAAATATTAAAATATTATAATAATTATTATATAATCTATGTGATATTTTTGACAAAAACTAGTTCTACACATCAATCTATCATATTATTACTATACTCTGTACTAGATGTACAATTCATTTTTGTTTAACAGTATACAATTTAACTGTGACAATGATCGAATAGTTAATAGGTATACGGCATACGGTTTTTGTAAACATTGAATATCATTGAATATTCATATTTATTATTTACATATCCATTACTGTGACTTACTCAACGAAAAAGTTCCCTCAAAACTCACTACTGAAGTAGAATATCCAAGCAATGTAAATATTGTGTAGTAAATATTAAAGAAATTTAAGACAAATAAAATACTCTTCTTTAAAAAGTGTTTGAGTAATGTTTTAAGAAAAATTATTAAAAGTATTTTAAAACACTAAAGCTTAGACAAACCGTGTATTTTAATGAAATATTTTAATTTATAGGTTAAAATAATGGCAATATAATATGACATTTAACACAAGGCTTTATACTCATACAAAGTGCTTATAATGACTAATTACTAAATAGTATTAAATAGGTACTAGTTTTCTAAAATTAAAAACAGACATTTTTCAAATGTCACTTACGACAAATTGGGATAGAATAAAAGCCAAAACTAATATTCTTAACAGTTATATTTAAAAAAAATGTAAAGTACAAACTCAAAATATATATTATAATGTAAAAATAACGAATCACAAAATACACCCATACATTAAAAACTATTACACAATAACAACTAAAACACAATTGTTAAGAAATTAACATTTAAAATGTTCTAGATCCAACAAAATATTTTGTATTATCATTATCTTTCACCGTATAGAAGTATATTTTTTTTTTTATCAATTTTGAGCAAATAGTTGGATTGTTTGATAAATTTAAAATGCAACCACCTTCAGAAAAAAAGAGATCCTTTACACTGGCAAATATGTTGATAATTTAGTGTATGGCAATAACGGCAGTATTTTTTTAACACATATTACAATTTTGATTCCGTCAGCCAGGCAAAATTTTGTGGCTTGCGATCAGCAGATGGGTTAATCATTATATTAACAAACGAAGGTCCACTTGTATCCTGTCAAACATAATTAATCATATAAACGCATTGCATAATTCAAGATTAAATACCTGGTAATTTTGTTATTAAATATATTAGGAGTTTTTATAACGTAGCTTTCTTTTTATTTTACATAGAAGTGTGGCTGAACTTGGTTACTGTACATTTAGCACATTAAAAGTTATTTTTGCAAACAAGAATAATTTGTGTTTGTCTACCATGCAATTTGAATATTTTTACTCAGTTGACTGTTAAGTCAACATTAAACCTTAGTTGTTTGGTAATGGATCTTTGTTATTTGCTAGTTTTAGAAGTTTTCATTTTATACAAATCACATGAATAATTATAATACCCAAACTAAAAATAAATATATATATATTGTATAGTAACGATTATTAAATTAAGTCATTTAATTACAAATGAAAGAGTAAAATGCTTGGTACCTACATAATAGTTTACTTATATTAAAACGTATAGGTAGTCATTATGTTGTTAACACGTTGAACGAGTACTGTCGCCATTTGGCGTCAAGAAGATCATTCAGCAAAGCGTTTGACGACATTTGGTGTCTAGTATAAATTTAAAATAAATGGTTTAATACTCCCTACGCATGGCTGAATGATATTTTATTATTATTTAGCGTGGATTAAATGCATGTTTTTAAATATTGTCCCCGTTCATGCAAAACACACTAAGTCCAAAAATCGGGTTTTCCGGTTTATTGTCATATAAAATTCAGTTTAAAAATATCTACAATATGCTGTATTCAACTAAGTCCCAATATTATTTAAAGATGTTTAATATACAATTCAAAATGTTAACTATGTCCATTCGATGTTTTCCTTAATACACAGAATATGGAATTATAGATTGGAAAAATTGCAAAAGGTCATACTCAAAAATCATGTTTTTGGACTTAGTGTGTTTTGCATGAACGGGGACGATATATACGTTGTTATGAGCAGTTTCTTTATTTATTTTTTTTTAAATTTATTTTGTTTTTACTCTTACATGCACACTGGGTGAACTGCATAAAGACATACACAGTCAACGCGATAAAAGGATTTTTAAAATGTACTTTTTTGACTACAATAAATAAAATGTTAAATAATCTGTATTAATATCTCTAGTCTTATACAAATATACTAATTTACATTCATCATTATTACACTGTTTTGTTGTTTTAAGTATTAATAATACATTTACCCATTAATAAACTTAAATAAAATACATTAACCCATTTTCTATCGTTGATTATTTTTCAACATTTTAATACTCAAGCAGGTTTTAAGAATTATTTAATTGTAGTTTGTTAATTGAATATTAAATTATTTTGATTATGTGATATAAAAGACAAGGACAATAAACCTGTGTGTATAGTTTTCTTAACCATTATTTTTTTAAAAATAATTTAAATATATTTACCATAAAAGCATTTTTCACTGCATTTGAAACTTGTTCAACAGTTGTGCAAAAATATCCTTTGCGACCAAATAGAGTCAACATATTTTCATAATGAATGTTTACGGATAAGCAATTAGGAGGAATACTGAAAAATAATAATACAATTAAAAATTAAAAATTGCCAGTAACAAAATATAAATTATAAGTTTATAACATATTATATTGTGTTAACTTCTCCAGGGGAAATAACGTCAAAAATCTAGTCACCAGACCGGAAATCGAACCCGAGTCTCTCGCTTGCCGGGCGATTGCTCTACTACTGAGCTACTCGATCTCATAGACCCATGACTCCATCTCCCCCAGTTAACAGGAGTTAACAATTGTATACATACACTTCAGTTAAGTTATCAGAATCTTGCACCAAAGACCAAGTGGACTCATCAACACCTCCATATATGCCATTATTATTAACAACGATGATGACGATTGGTAATTTATACCTAAAATTATAATATAAGAAGGTTAAACTATAGTATTTTTTAATAAAATCATTAAAAAATACTATCATCTTATTAAATTGTATGTAATTCAACGTTTATGTCAAAATAATAATTATTTTACATAAGTTTTAAAAACAAAATAACAAAAAATTTTAAAACTGTGTATACAAGAATATAAATATAAAAATAAATAATATTAGAATAAATAAATAAACTACCCATAAATTAATGGTAATACAATGATTACTACAAAAATTATGTTAAAATTTTTTTTAAAATTATTATAAGACAAATGTTTCAATGGAACAAGAATTAGAACTAAAAAGGTGCTCTGCTGTACAGTAGGTTACAAGTGGGTCACTGTATAATGGATGGTATTAAATTTGAATTCAATGATATAATATCATTGTATAAGAAGAACGATTATGAGAAGAGACGGTATGTCAGTCTAGGTAAAAGAACATAAATATTTTTGAAAAAATTGATCTAAAGGTCTATAATAAATTCCAAATTAATCATATCATAATATCCATTAGCTACTTATTACACTTATACACTTACTTATTACGTTATATATCAACAACAAACCGTCATACTATCATAGATATATATTATATATTATATTATAATAGTACACATTAGAAGTTTGAGTACCCACGAATAATATTATACAATCACAACAAAATAACTAAAATAGTTAACCTAGGTTTTTTTATTATGTAATTTTTTCCAAATTTGAACTTAAAATTACTATAAAAATCAACTGTGCTTGTGTATTTTTTAGATTTTTTGGTAACAGAATTAATTACTTACATAGATTTAAACTTTCAATCCTTAGATATAAAAGTTGATCATTTTATAAATATTTAACTACAAAATAATTATTCAATTTTAAATTTGATCTTTAAATGCTTATAAAAAAAAATGGGCCTTTGTATTTTTAATATTTTTCAACTGCTATTGTAAAAATATGTCAGGAGCGAGTGAATAACAAATTTTGTAAAAATATTAATTTAAAATGCTCATAAAAATTTAATTTCACTTTAGGGAAGACATTTTTTTTTTTTTTTGATAACGGTAGACAAACGTATGAAGAATCTTGTTTTACATTTTCATATCTTAGATTTAAAAAGGAAAATTTTTATGAATTTCTAACTCAAAATAATTTGCAAATTTTCGTCATTTTTACGTATTTTGTCAATATTTGAACTTTAAATGCTCATAACATAAAACTGTGACTAAGGATTTTTAATATTTTTCAAATGTCAGTGTAACAATATATTAGGGGCCTTGTATTAAATTTAAAAGTATTTATACTCAACAAATAAAGTTTTATTGACTTTCACAGAAAAAAAACTAATAAAATAGGAAACTGAAAATGTCCCTAAACAGTTCAAAACATATCAAAACATTTTGAAAATTTTATCATGTATAGACAATGGAAATATAAACAACCAGTGAAAATATCAAGTATATACGTTAATTATTTTAGAGTAACAACAAAAACCAAAATCGATTTTGCATAAAAATTCCCGTTTTTCCTTAATTTTTATGTTGTTTTTCCCGGCGCTGTGAAAACTATTGGGAATTTTAAAATTTGACCTCCCGAATGCACCAACTAGATTCACTTTCTCATCGAACAAGATACTGATGAAGAAAATCGAAGCAGTTTTACTGCCTCAAACCACGATGACAGACACAAAAAAAAAAATTTTAAAAAAACACACATGATTGTAAAATCAATACATTCATCGTTTCACTTAGAATCTAAAAACTATTTTGGTACATCATGAACAAAGGACATAATTCTATTGATAGGACTCATATATTTGAGCACCTAGTTTTAAACTGAGGAACAAAGATATTTAAAAAACCAACAGTATTGGACAAATTTCAAACCCAATTAAAAGTTTAACAAAAATTGTAGGTTGTCCAGCATCCTTCTTCCATATACATATTTGAAAAAAAATAGTTAGTTAACATCTTTAAACTATTCAGCATGTAGCTAAAATGAATTTGATTTCTAATAAGAATTCATATTTTTAAGATTACCTGACCATTGTTTCCACTTCCATTCCTGAAAATCCAAATGCTGAATCACCTTCAACACACAAGACTCGTTTTCCAGGTTCATATTTTTGACACCATAAGGCTGCAGCAATAGCAAATCCTAATCCTACTCCCATGGTACCAAATGTTCCTAGATATGAAATTATTTATATTATTATATTATTATCATTGTCATAAACTAGTATTTATCTTACCAGCATCAAGTCTATGTCTAGGTACATTGTTTAATAATACAGCTCTACCAATGTCCATTGTATTTGCTCCTTCGCTTACAATCATACAATCTGTAAATAAACTTAAATTCATTGATTTTGTTGATTATCAACATAAGAAATATTTATCAGAATATTGAAGGGGGGTCACTAATTATGTGGGTTATTCTCATATGCATATCAAGTAGTTCTTTTTTTCTCTTCTCCCATACTCTTATTGTACCTAAATACAGATTGTGTGTTACTTTTAAAAATGTTAACTAAAAAAAAAATTTATCCTATAACTCACAGAAAGAGTAATTAATATTTGTTCACTAGGCTTTAATTTTATAATATTGACATGACATCTGATATTTTAATTATAAAAATTGTAAGAAAACGCTGTTTTAAAATAATAAACTTGAGTTTGAAATCAGAATTATAATAATAATTAATAACTATCTTCCCAAGAATTCAAAGTTAAATATAAACTAGATTTAAAATAAAAATGTATGTTTAATACAATATTTAACAAATATGGATAATAATTTTATCATTTGTATTTAGTGCCTAAAATATATTATTTAAATCTATGCCTAAATCTAAAATGTCTCTTTTTTTGTTTCAATGTGTATAATTAACAAGATACCTAATGGAGAAGTATTGTAATAATAACCAGATAAAGAAAAATAGGAATCAGATTTTAAATTCAACTTGGACATATGCATTAACTATCTTAATAATATTACTCAGTATGTAAAAAATAAAAACTAGAGAATTTTAACATTTTAAATATAACTGTAGTGCTTGAAAAATATTATTTCATTATTTTTCTAAAAATGTTTTATTTTATGTTTTAAACATTTTACATTATTTGTTTTAAAAAAAAATTATATGAAAATACTATGCACATAAATTATAATATAATACTTCTAATAAACTTAATAGTCAATATCAATGTATTATTATTAAGTTTATTAACTATTAATGCATCGTTATTGATTTTCTACAGCATAGGCTTTGTAAAAACATAATTACATGAAATAAAACCAACCTTTTGGAATATTATCATACACATGTCGAAAAACTGTGTAGTAGTTTAATGGTATGGATGTATCTTTCATCATTGACTGAAAATAAAAATAAGACTTATTTTGTACATATAATTTGGTATTTATGAAAATATAAAATTTGAACTCTGTATTTATCGAGTTTAATTATTAATGGAGTGATATAGTGATGGTGGTAAAAACTCTTGAAGAGTATTTGATGCCGGATAAAAAAGAAGTGTCAATTGAGATGAGTTCCCATAAATAATGAAATGGAATATTATGCTAGTCGTAGAAACTTGATTTAAACTAATGTTTATTCATATAATGTCTTACCTCTACATATTTTTTATTTGACAAACACTTTTCTTTAAGCTTATCCAACCATTCGCTTCTTATATTATGCCATTTTTTCTTGGATAAACAAACATTTAAAGCATTAACTGCAGCGTGCATATCTGCTTGAATTGCTACACTAGCTTGTTGGCTATTGTGTAACTCTTCTGCACTTATGTCTATCTGTATGAACTTTACATTAGCATTGAATCTTGGTGGTTTACCAAAATGTAGTATCCAATTTAATCGTGCACCAAGTAACAGTATTACATCAGCATTTAGCAAGGCATAAGTACGTGCAGATGCTACACTTAAAGAATGTTCATCGGGCACTACACCTTTACCCATTGGTGTGGCTAAAAACGGTAAGCCGAATTCTCCAATGAAATTTCTTATAGCATATTCTGCGCGTCCATAGGCAGCACCTAAATACATATATATAGATATAAATATATAGTAATATTCTATTATTAAATATAATTTGCTTACCTTTGCCTACAATAACCAGAGGTCGTTTGGCATTTATTAACAGTTCAGCGGCAGATTCAATATTTCGGATATCGGGGAAAATGACTGGAGGTTGTGAGATTAACGGTTTTTTCACAACTCTATCTACAGGAATTCGAGCTGATAATAGATTGGCAGGAAAATCTAAATATGCAGCACCTATAAACAAAACTTAATTAATTAAGAGTTTTCTTAAAAAAAAAAATTATTGATGTTGTCACCTGGTCTACCGTAAGTAGCATAACGTATTGCTTTTTCAACATGAACAGGTATAAGAGCAGCATTTGGGGGCCTTGCACTGTACTTGCAATAAGGTCTGCTGAGTTCAACTTGGTTGCATTCTTGAAATCCACCGATTCCTTCATGATCTTCTGCACAAGAGCCGCCAATAACCAATAGAGGCCTAAAACAATAACTATTTTTATAAAACAATTTGCACATCACATAGTATTTGAGCATTATAGGTAACAGACCAACAGTTGATTTGTGCATTGGCCATTCCAGCAGTGACATGAAGCAATCCGGGGCCGGACACCACTAGACATACACCTGGTGTACGCGTAAGGTAACCGATTGCTTGGGCTGCGTACACTGCTGATTGTTCATTGCGCATTCCAATGTATTTGATGCCGACTTGTTGCAGGGCCATGCTGAATTCAATGACTGGAATACCAACAATGCCAAAAACATATTCGACATCCTATGCATATGGAAACAAAACCGTTTATTTTGTCTTGAAGCTATCCTCATCGCATAAATATGATCAATGAAATACTAACTTGATGTTTTAACGCTTGTGCAAGAATGTTATTGCCATCGATATCCTCCACATCGTTTGACATATTTTTGAGATTGGATTTTGAACGATAACGTAGTAGGAACGACTGTATAATATTATGTTAACAAACTACTATTAAGCTAAAGGTATGATGGGAAATACAATGATCTATTTACTAAGAACTAAATGTGGCAGCAATGAATAAATAATTATAGCAATGAATTGGCAAATTATTATAATTCAGATTTTAGGAGAACAGGAAATAATTATAATAATAATTGTTGTTATTATTGTTGTTGTGAATGTACGCGATCACAGGACTCTGACGATTGATAACTGATAAGCAGCAGCAGTGCCGGTGGCGCCGTTGCCGGAACGTGATTAAAAATACCTAATGTTACCGGATGACAGACGGAAAATCTAGTTCTAAATTTTTTTCCATGGCCATACGGTTTGATACTATAATATTATTTTAATAATAACATATTGCATAGTAGGTAATAGGTATTTCGTATTTATACATTCGTAATAGAATTATCGACGACTCACGAATGACCAGTAATAAGACTACCCCACCTACCTAGTAGACAATCGAGTACTACCGATTTTATAAAAAAAAATTTTTAATTTTGACCAAATTTGAAATAATTACAATTGCATATTTATTATTTTTTACTCCAAGTGCAATTTTAGGATCTATGACAAAATACATATTGTAATGGTTGTGTTTCAATGGCCGTTTCACCGAGTTGACACGTTTTGGTGGTTTTGCTGCCGCAGAGACATTTCGATGCGTTTTAATAATAGGTAGGTAGTAACCTAGTACCAGTAGTACCATACAACCATATATTCAACAATTAACAACTAATGACTATGGTTTTATAATGGTTTTTATGACAGCATAATAATTTGGGGTTTGGTAAGTTCCCACACGAAACATAGCAGGTAATCGAGTACATACCTATGTAAGTTCCCACACGAAAAAAAATACGCCCGTACGTAAGTTCCCACACGGAAAAAATTACACCTGTACGTAAGTTAAGTTAGTAAGACTTAGGAATGACAACTTAAACGAAATTTTTTTAGGTTTATTTCGAAAGCTCAAACACTTCACATAGATAATCAAAAGTCACATAGTCAATCTGATATTTTATTTTGTTTTTCTTCTTCCACACATTATTTGTATAGGTACCTATAAAATAAATAATAATAATAGAAAAAATCACATTTTGTTTGATCTAATAACACTTTACAATATAGTGTTTGAGCTATCGCAATAAACCTAATAAAATTTGATTTTTTTCTATTATTATTTTTATTTTATACATATACAAATATTATACACATTATATTATTAATTTTTATTATAATATATTATACGGACTAGATTCAATTGGACTTTTTTTTATGCAATACAAAAACAAAACAAATTTTAACCACACCAACTACGTTTAAGTTGTCAGTCCTAAGTCTGAATAAAGTGGGAAGGAAGTTTGTGTTTGGCAAGGCTGAGCATTAACGAATTAAAAGTTAAAATTATAAGCAATTTATATATAAACATTATTATGTGTCTGAAATTTCGTGTGGGAACTTACGTACAAGTGTAATTTTTTTCGTGTGGGAACTTACTTATGGATATCCAGGGGTAATTTTTACCTGCTATATCTCGTGTGGGAACTTACATTCGCCCAATAATTTATACCCATATTTAGTAATTTCCTATAGGTACGAACTCGTGCATTAGGTACAATAAATTCCATTACGACAAGGGTAAAATCGTAGGTACCTACTGAACATTATTCGAAATAAAATAGTAATAATAAACACATTGATATTTATGATGTATAAAATCATGATGTAAATCTATCGTTCACGACTCGTTAAAAATGCTTTTTCTAATATTTAGGTATGTGGTTTGTACTTTGTACCATGGGCGGACAAAATCAAATCTTACCGGGCAAACCGATATTGTCAGGCCACTTCAATATGACCATTATAGTCATTATGTAGAAGCCTTTATATACCTTTAGTAATTACCTATTGCTTACAATTACGTAATTTTTATTTTTATTTGGAAAGTGTTTTGAATTGTTTTTGTCCAATCAACTTATTGGGACAATGATCATCACATATGCCTACCTGCCCTACCTATAGGCTATATTTTTTTTTCCGGTTTCATTATACATTATAGTATAATTATTAATTATATACCCATATCCGGTGGGCTTCCGAGAAAATTTCGGTGGACCTTCCAAAATATTATGATGTGCCATGGTGCATTTTCGGCTGTCCTTTTAATTTAATAATATATTGAGAATTATTAGTAGAAAGTAGAAATTATAATTAATTGAATTATTAAACAATACAGTAGTGCTATGGTAACAGCTGTAGTCAAACGTAAAAAATCCTAAAACTCGGTGGTCCTATAATTGTCTATATCTGATTATATTATACCAATAGTTTATTACTTTAGACTGTATAGATACCTAATATTTTTTTTCGTAGAATATATCTTGCCACCTATTTTTGGAACTTTTAATTTAAAAAAATACTAAAAGTAATTAATTTCATTTGATTTTAGCTTTAAACAATTTACCAACTGATAATCATAGGTACATTCGTACAACTATATAATTAACTGGACCGATGAATACAAAATGAATGAAACATAATAAACGTTTACCACGTTTAAATAATATTGCAAAAATAGTGATTTTAATATTATGCAGTCTACGTCGACGTAAACTATACGCCCGCCACGAAAATATTATAATTAATAGATTCTTCCTCATATGTGATATTATAATTTAGTATTTATACAATATATTATGGTACCCACGTGATATATATTATCATTATTATTTATTTGCGAGGACAATACAGAACGGGCGCACACACGGATCTATATAGTATAAATTATGGTCTCGGTGGCGTAACTAATATTTTTGGGGGAGCGAAGATTTTCAGACCAACCACGCCCCATCTCTAATTCAGCGGTAATACCACAAAATCTTAATACTCGCCTACAACACAAACCCTCACTTCTTACAGACTATACGAAATAATCGACCGACTTCCATTTACACATGCTATTTTTTTCTCTTGGAATAATTAATGACTGCTGCAGCACGAAATCGTAACACTTTAAATTTACTCAAATACATTTTTATTTTGCAATCGTTGATTAGTTAACTATTGGTTATAAACGTTATTTGGGCGATAAATAATAATACATATTATATTCATAATATAATAACACAAATGTTAAGGGTTTGTATCCTCGGTATATAATTTGAATAACTCGGAAATTAAATGTTCACACATCACTATTTAAAAAAAAATCATATATACTAATAATTTACCCTAAAAAAGGTTGATTCTCATTTGAAAAAAAAAGTTTGTATCTCTACAGGACACTCCATCGTATGAAAAGTCTAAATAATTGAAAATATGGTCCTTAAGTATACTTAAAAGTTAAAAGTTCTCAACTCAGAATTTAAATAAGTTAATTATTATTGTAGGTGAGTTTGGTATAACGCCCTTTATAATATATTTATTTATTTAAAATATATTATCATTATATTTAATAAAGTTTTAAGATTCCACGTTGGTAAGTTATAAATAAAATATTTACCAACCCAAAATTTAGGTTACAAAAATTGCTTATGTTTATATAGACTATATACTCATTATATTGTTGTTATATAGAGACACGATAATTTTTGGAATATTTTGCTTTTTGTTTCTATTGGTCTAATACTCTATTTCTATTAGATAATATTATGATGCTAGTTGTACTAAGTCAACCGTTCATACTTCATTATGTATTTTCAACACATATATTTAAAAAACTGTAAAACAAAATGTTGTACAATGTTTGATACTTTTATGGATTATATTATTATTAAAAAAATAACACGAGACATTTGTTATGACTATAGCACGGATTCTTAAGCAGTAAAAAGTGTCAAAATATGCCATATTATATGCAGTAAAAATCGTGAAAATATGGAAGAAAAAAAAACTTGAAATTGTGTATAATATGGTAAAAAATTCACAGTTTAATACCTTATAAATGTATGACTCAAAAATAATTTAAAACAATTTATTAAATTATAATTATAATTATTATTGGTAGGTATGTACTTATTAATAAATAAAACACTATTAATTTATAGTTTAATGCAATATGTAACCGTTAATTAATATGCAGTAATATATTATAATATATAAACTATTATAATTCGTAGAGATTTCTGACAAAAATCGCAAAAATGTGAAAAGAAAAGAATATACAAATCAACGCTCTAGTTATGACTTATGACTTATGGATAATATTATATCAATAATGGTGCTATTTATCATACAATATATTTAATTATTATTTATATTAGCTCTAGATATAAAAATCACATTTTTATAAAATAATACCTTAAAAAAAAATTAGGCAAATTCTGAATCTAAAAAGTGCAACTAGCTTTCCGTTTATACTGTTACTATAATAGTAAATTAGTAAATAATGTTATCGTCCTCGTTATTTTATATATCACCGAGATTGGCGGCGTAGTGTATAGGCAATTCCGGTAAACCGGTGTGTAGATGGCTTCCTAAAGGTATCCCATTGATTTAATATGCGAATAATAATATATATTTTCGTTGTGACGTCAGTGACTTGCCAATACTACACGTCATGTGGATTCGCGCAACTACTAGCTATTTTAGATTTCATAATGAATCAAATAGGCAACAACGATGTTGTAGATTCACTATTCAGTTTATTTACCATTACCATATAAGAAATGTAATTTCGACGTTGAATGAAAAAATACAAATAAATACAATAATTTATACAAATAAATTACTTGATTATATGATAATGGAATTCTTATTTATTTATTTTTTTTAGTGTCCCCAATCAATTCCTTTATTGTTGGTTTTATCTAAGCTGACAAAAAAACAAAAACTATTTTATTCATTATGAATGATAATATTTTTTATATGTGTTTTTGGGGTAGTAGACGAGGTTAAACATGTCGTTTTACTAAAAAAAAAATTATAATAATAGTAATAATAATAATAATAATTATATACAATCTGTACCTACAATATAATTATACTTGTATACCATATATATTATATTATATATTTATATATACATAATACTAGGTATTAATTATTTTAACAGTAAACACTCATTATATAATTCAAATTCATATTAAAGTACATTTAAATTATGGAAAAAAAAAATATTTTAAAAAACGTTAACACTTTTCGAGGTAGCCAATGAATGTTTACTGTTTAAAGAAATCGCCAGTTTAAGAGGCATTACTATTTGCGGTGATGAGAGTAAAATTTTAGTGATTTTAATTTTTAACTATTGAGTTGTATTTTTGTAAACAAAAAAATATGCTCGTATGAAATTAATTATAAACATAATATGATCTTATATATTTTCTCATCACACCCAACTTGAATATAAACAATAATCACAACCATCAAAACGACCGCCAGACCTGTCACCTGACACCAAACGCGACTGTCAATGGCCTTTTATTATTAAATTGATTTCTCAATATTGTTGTGTGTGTGAACGATAAGTTCAGGCCATAGAGTATAGACGGATTAATAAATGTCTTAATATGCCATGGTTCTGGGTCATAACTCATATATGTTATATAATATGTCTTTGATAAGAGAAACCAGAACTAATACAGAATAGATTAAATATACTTATTCGACGACTTATATAAACCCGTCATCTCACCAGTGAATTTACACATCGTCAGCCGTCATCAATGTGATTTATAAAGCTGCATAAATTCGTTAGGTTTTCCTCTATTTCTTCGTTACTATAATGTAATATGCTCAGGACATTATTAAGTAATCGGTAATTAGAGTGACTAAACTAAATAAAAATATTAACTGTAGGAAAAAAAGAAGCATACTAAATACTAATTGTCATCGATATCATCGAAATCAAATATGATTGATTATATAATTATAATTATTAATATTTACCTATCAATTTTTTTTCTTTAAAATTACAGTTAATACGAAGAAGCTGGAGAAGACGTTGACAACGACTAAAATTCGTTTTACAGTTTCGTACTGATGATTTTGTTGTTAGTGTATCCTAGTCTTTATTTTTTTAGTAACCTGAGAAAAGAAAAAAACTCGTTTTATTTGCAGACGAAAAATTGCCGCTGTACTGCAAAATATATTCGCTGTTTTAAATAATCACGATTACATTATATTATATGTTTAAAACAGTGAATATTTTTGCAGTACACCGGCAGTTACTCGTTAGAAAATAAAACGAGTTTTTTTCTTTTCTTAGATTACTAGAAAAATAAAAACTCGGAGACACCATCAAAAACATCGGCAACGAAATGATTGGTAGGTATGAAACTGTAAAGGTACGTTTTGCCTGCAGCGTCTACTACCTGACGGGCATAGTCAAGATAACTTAATATGTAAATCAAATAGGATATTAATTGTTTCTTAGATAATTTAAAAAATATTGTAAGCAATATCAATATATCATAATTTAACATTTTATACAAATTGTACCAATTAGTAGGTAGGCACCTACTTGACTAAATAAATACTAAATAATATATTATTAAATGCTATGTGTATTGGGTACCTATAAGGTTTAACTGTTCAAGCATATTCCTGTTAAGAACTATTATCCTTAGTCCTTAGCACATAATGTTTAATAACTCAGAAATTACTCGGTTGAATTTTGATTTGGATACAACAAAGTGCTCAAAAACAAAATTCTGCTAAATAATTTATAGTAAAAAAGTGGATTCTAGTTTTTACCACCACAGGACACTCCTTAATACGTGTTACATAAAATATCAAGTATTCAATTACATTATGGTAATCGAGTGTATTTGAAATTTCCAAAAATCAGATTTTGAATAACTGATGGATTATTGAAGAAAAAAGGGGTGAGCACTAGCTGAGCAATGACCATACTTGGTGTGTATATATGTATATATATTATGAATCATGTTGCGTAAATACCATACTTTTAGTTTAACCATTTAATATTTATTTATAAGTCAATTATGCAACTATAATAATAGGAGACAGTAAAAATAAAAAAAAATGTATATTTTAGTATCAGTCCTTAGATATTTTAGAAAAGGTGTCTATTTAAAAATTATACATAACAATTAGATCAGTGAGGAAATTTATCTGAGACTTGTATTTGTATTTATTTCGTTATTTTGTATGAAAATATTTTCGAACAATTACTACTTTGAATAATTTTGTGTGTTTGATATCTATCACTCATGAAGTGAGTATACGAGAATAAGAAGCTAATAATACAATACTTTTATTCACGCAAAACAATAATTATTATAGTAATAAAATGGTATATAAATATAAAATATAACATAAATATCAAATAATATAATCGTATTATGTTTGCTGAATAGTAAAGTTAAGTCTATAAATTCCTTGGGCATCTTACAAATATTATAATAATATGAAACAACAATTATAAATTCATTTGTAGCCTGTAGGTGATCTGAGAGTAAAAGGTAAAGCGTATTAATGGTATTCATAAGATATAACATCAGGTTATATTATATAAGTCCGAATACCTACTACGATGATGTCAACCTAGAACCTAATGTTCAATATGCTAAATTACTCAGCAGATTTATTTATAATTAATTCTTCGATTTAGTCTTAATGTAATGTCAGACCCTTATTAGTTATTGACAGTTGCAGTTAGTGGCTACCGATGAGTTATTATTTTAATAATGTATAAATGTATAAATGTTATTGGGTTTTATAGTAACTATTTAATGTATAATATTATTATTTGTAATTATAAAACAATACCTACTACCTAATTATTCACTCATGGAAAAAGATTATTTTTTTTTTTTTAAAGGAAAATTTCATTATTTTGTTTGATGGCTTGGGATTTCATGTATATATTAGGTGCTGAAGTATATATTATATTTATTATTTACTCTATGTATATAATTTTGGATTTCAGCTCTACTGCAGGAGCGTATTGTTTATGATCTTAGATTATAAAAAAGTTCGTATTCTTGTGGCGCAATAACGTTTTTTAATTCAGATTCTGAAATTGCAAAATTGTCCGTAAATCGTCTAATACGTCGTTCAGCTGGCAAACAAATATCATCAACACCGAGCCCGGTATATTAAAGTCATTAAAAAACCGATCCGCCTTAAGAGACCTTCGCGTATCGGCCAATATATATTATGCTATATTATTTTATTAAAGTATCTAAACTGCTGTTACACGATCGTAAACCACCGCTATTCTTATTAATGGTAAATCTCCGGTCGTTTAATACACACACACACGCACACACACTTATATATATATATTTCATTATACAGCTTTATTCGAAAAATACACACACCACGACTACGCATAGTACATAGCAGTTAACGGGTGAGTAGGAATATTTTAAACGGGTCACGACGGGTGTATTTATTTTTTAAAGGAAGTAAAAACGTTTTTGAGCTTTAAATAATAATTTTACATATAAAAACAAAAACTTGTTTATACCTACATATAATACAATATTATTTACTCAGCGATGTTTGCGCAGTGTTTTCGAGCGTAATCATTTGTAGATAAGTACAATATAATTGCAGATATAGCATACCTACCTACTATGCGTACTTCCGACCTAATATTGATATAAGCGTTTACTTTCGGCTTAATTTTTTTTTATTTTACTTGTAAATAATTGTAATACAGTATAATAATATTGTCGAGCGTATAATCGATATAATTTTGTGTTATAACGGTTTCAAATGGAAATACCACCAAACAAGTCTTTTCGTCTCTCGCCCTATAGTCCTATGGCACCATGATGGGTGGGACGAAGGTCGAAGACCATGGCATATCCTGTATGAGAGTCGATAGTGACGGGCGCCGACCGGCTCAGACATATTGGACGTTGGCATGAGGCTTTGAGGGTGACAGAACCAAATCTCTTCATCCCTCCTCCTATAGTCCATATGGTCCCATGGTTGAGACGGTGATACTGTCACACCGTGCATGATATTCGATATTTTTGGACTCTGGCCCGATCAGCAATTTGACGTTGGTCCGATGCTTCTAAGGTGGCGAAATCCGGTCAGCCCACGAAGGTGGCAGTCAAATCCCACCTCTGCAAACGGCAGTCGGCTCGTCTTGTCCATCGCTTGACCTTATACTGTCTTTATAACAATATATTAGAAGCCTTCTATTAAATTTTTAAGCTTTTGTACCCAACAAATAAAATTTTATTGATATTTATAGAAAAAAAAAACTAAAAATGTCCATAAAGAGCTCAAAATATTTGGAAAATTCTATCATGTATAGAAAATGAAAATATAAACAACCAGTGAAATTTTCATGTATATATACATTCATTTGTTTTAGAGTAACAATAAAAACCAAAATTGATTTTGTGTAAAATCGATTTTGCGTAAAAATTCCCGTTTTTCCTTAATTTTTCTTTTGTTTTTCAAGATGCTTTTGAAAACTACTGGAAAAATTTTAATTTTGACCCACCAAAGTACCAACTAGATTCACTTTCCTATCAGAAAAGATACTGTTGAAGAAAATCCAAGCACGTTTCCTGTCCTAAAAGGCGGTGACAGACACAAACAAAAATAAAAAAAAACATACATCATTGTAAAATCAGTACATTCGTCGTTCCACTCAGAATCTAAAAATTATTGTACTATAATTGATTAATTTCCAAGAATGTTTGATGTGGTTTTGTGGTCCCTCAATATTATAATTGATAAAATTATAATTTATAACTCAAACATTGTAAAACAGGTGCTCTGCTGTACAATATGTTACAAGTGGGTCACTGTATAATAGATGGCATTAAATTTGAATTCAATGATATAATATCATTGTATAAGAAAAACGATTCTGAGCGGAAACGGTATGTCAGTCTAGGTATAAGACATATTATATACTTATCTATGGTATTAAAAAAAATACCTATATAAATATAATAAATCCCAAATTAATCATATCACAATATCCATTAGGTACTTATAACGCGTTATACATCAACAACAAACCCTGTTACTATCATAGATATACATAGGCGCAAATTGGGGGGGGGGGTACAGATTATTCTTATTTTATTAAGCTAGCTATATTATATATTTTGAGTAGGTATGCAGGGAGAAAAAATGTGTAGGTTAGGTTCGGTTAGGTATTTTATGATAAAGGTGTTGTATCTTTTATACTCATAGATTTATTTATTGAGTGTAAATACCACTGTACACTGCAAGGTATTCACAATATAAAATAAATACCATTAAAAGTACCTACACCTAGTTCGTAAAAAAATAGTAACAGTATTGTGATATTTTCATACTAATATAAGTGACATATTAAATAAATTATACAATTAATATTCTACAGTTTTTGACCCCCCCCTCCCAAAAAAAAAAAAAGAAGATTTCTGTATGGCCTGGTAATGATTTGAATGGCCTGCAAACATTTTGGCACCAATTGGGAACCCTCTTCACTATTTTATTTTCATGTTATTATTTATTAATTATTATTATTTTATCTGTATAGTTTATTGTTCAGAACTGTTATAGATGGTATAATGAAGAATTTTGTTGAAAAAAATAGATGTATATTGAGTGAAAACAATACACTATCATAGAGGAGATTCAGACAATGCGAAAAAATTATCGAATCCAGAAGGGTACGAAACATGAAACGAAAATTTAATTTTTATTACAGTTATAGTATCGTTTCTATTGATTTCACGTTAAAGTTAAGCCTTTGTAGTAGACGATTGAGCATTTAGTGACGCATCTCTTGTCCATGTTCTACCGCTCTGCTGCATTTAGTATATATTCCGATAGCCACAGGGAATTTTAAATATCTTACTCTACTATAAAAATCGATGGTAGTTTTAATCCTTATATAATTGAAAAATAAATAAGCCATAATTCAATATTAATTGTATCAATCGTTATAGAATTCATACCATAAAATAGCAATTTATACAAGAGGCTATTCTTTCCTATTTTTGAATTAATATATTTGGATATATCTTATTCTATTTATATTGTATTTATGCTTCCTTTATTATTTTTAAATTTTTATGGTTATTATTGAATTCCCTTAAGCTTTATATTTCTGTACAGCAACCTAGATATAGGTATTTTGAATTTTACTATCTAAAAAAAGTACATAATATCTGTGCCACAGAGGTCAACTAACGCAAGTCCATTTTTTGAAATTTTGAGTTAGTTATATCATCAGAATATGCTTCTTGTGATCTTTTTAAAGGTATCAAAACGTCCTATATATACAATAAATGCATATATAGCAAGAAGTATACTAACTTAAGTCTTAAACTATGATAGGAGTATAGAAACTTATGTTCAGCGTTTACATAAGAAAAGTAATACAAAATAATATTTTTGAAGTATACAACTGTAAGTCCATTGCAACAAATATTTTTGTTTTATCTCTCCTTGTTTTTTGTGACTTTCGTTACTCGACTTCTGTGGTACAGAATTATACTAACATAAAAAATTGTTAACTTATAAATATCAATTAATTTTTTTTTTTTATAATCATTTAAAGTTAATAAAATAAAAGTGAAGTAGCAAGGATAAACACGCAAAGTTTTCAGTACAATAATATGAAAAAAAAAACGAGTTGTTAAATATTCGATATCAATATTTTTGTTAAAAGTATTTTGTTTTAGAGTAAGGACTAAGTTTGGCATTTTAAAACCAAGAGTTGATAAATAATTTACCAAGAAAAATAAAGGTGTAAACATAAACACAATAGCAGCATAAAATGTTAAATAATTTTGAATTTCGTAAATTTCAAAAAATTTCATCAAAAAAAGCCACCCTAAAACTTTATGACATAATAAGTTTTAGGTGTAAAATAATCACTTCATTAGTATTATACAGTCTGAATAAAGGTATTTATTGACTGAAATATACAAACTTCAATAGTTATAGAGTGGTTGAGAATAAGATCAAAGTAATTTTATTTGAACATAATAAATATTCATTAGTAGGTACCTATATGATTAAATGCAATACAAACGAGGAAGTCAAAACAATGGAGTTGATTACGTGCAATGAGTCAATGAACATATTATTATACGTCCTAATATTATAGGAGAAATTCGATGGAAATAGAAGTAATAAGTTCGTTTGATATGGTTGGTACTTATAATAGTGACTAATTTGTTCACAACACACAAGACACAAAGTTTGAAATATATTATATTATATATTATAATTCATATATAGGTATTACTATAAATTATAATATAGGTAATATTGTTAATGTGAAATAACTAATAAGTCATAATTAAATATATTCTTTAGATTGATGTATACATCATCAATTCCATAATTTCTTTGATGTATGCATCAAAGAAATTATGGAAGAGAATCTGGAAATTAAATGGAAATATTTTGTAATTATTGACTTCAGTCTTAAACTATTAAAGTTATTTTTTTAGATTAAGATAATCAGACCCAATGGCGTAATTTCAAATTATATTTTTAGTACGCACATATTTCTATGCAGGCCAACCAATTTAAGAAGGTATGACGCCACTGTTCAGATCAATGTGGTCCTAAAATATAAATTAATCATAAATAATAATACAATAGAAACATTTATATAGGCATGAGGTATCTGTAAATAAAAATAAACTTATATTAATGTGTAATTTAAATGTATATGTAGAACTTCAATCATTACTTAAATAATTGTTATAAATCATTAACTAAGAAGTTAATTTGGTATTAATATATTACATTAGATTATATTATACAATAATGTTTATTTGCTTTTTGAAATAAATAATAATAATAAAAAAAGCTAAATTGTAATAGATAAAAAACTATAAAATAAAAACTCATATTTAATGATTAATAATAATATATTACCTTAATATGTATTGATCGTTAATAATAATTTTTTTTTTATTGCTACAATATTACAATACACTTCATGCCGAATTGTATTTCATTTTAATTTATATAACATGACGTGTGTTGAAGGCAGTTTCCGTAGAATAAAGTTCCTTTCCAGGTTTATGTTTGTAATTTTGTTCCTTTGAGGAATTTTCATTTGAATTTAATTCTTATTATTTTATACAGTCAAAGATTTTCTGCTAAATCGTAATTCACCGTCACTAAAAAATAAGAATTTTCGATGATGTAAAATAGGGCTATTAATATCATATAGCATGTTATATTTAAAAAAAAAACTTTTTGGTACCTACCTATTCATGCTGGATACTGGTTACTTATAAAATGCAATTATAAAATGTGAAATAAAATGAATAAAAATCGATAATTTTTATTAAGAAACGGTATCAATAACTTGGAAATTTATTGTGTATAAAAATGTTCACTCTGAGGCATAACAATATTGTATTATTGTTGTATACAATGCAGTATAAAATCAATTATGCAATCTATATGATACGAAGGCTATACGATGTTTCGAATTGTTGGATTGTTAACAAATACATTTTACGCTTTGGATCAGTTCTATAAGCCGTCGAGAATCGACAGATATATATATATATATGTAAAAAAATGTGAGATTTCTATTTATCAACATTCAACATATTTTACTTTATAGCCTGTGAATGAGTCATGAGATGGTTACGACTTTAGGAGAATCAAAAATATCTCGTCGCTGTCGACTGCAATATAATTTCATCTACGCATTTTCTTGGCGAAACTGACTCGAGAATAATACTAAAAAAAACCTAATATAATACTTTGAAAGATTATACGCAATATAGCAGATCATACAATCATGGGGGGGGGGACGGGCCAAGGGGGTAATAACGATAAACTATCTGTTCAATATTCGATATTAATATTTTTATAAAAGTATTCTGCTCCATGTAGTATACAACTAAAAATAAATGTTGGCATTTTAATATCAAAAGTTTATAGAGGAAGTAGGAAACAGAATATTATATAAACATAAAAACATAAAATTTTAATTAATAATCTTCAATTTTCTAAATTTCAAAAAA